TGTGTCTTTGCCTGCTCCCTAGTTAGTAAACAAGTGTCCCTATCCCAAACCATTATTGTGGCTGGCTCTCCTTGGGCCCTGTGTTGGCAGAGAACAACAAATTCCAAGCTCTCTTCCACTCCTTCCCAACCCCTTCAGGGTAGAGCTGTGGCATCCTGCAGTGCTGTGTCTAGGAAGCCTGCCAGGCAGGTTCCTGCTAAACCTGTTCTGGGGGGTTTGGAGCTGAAAATTCAACACCTTGGACTGTGAGCCCAAGGTGGCCTTTCCAGTTGGGTGGGGGCAGGGCAGAGTAAGCAGCAAGCCCGCGTGCTGGGGCAGGGGGTCAGCAGATGGACACGTGCCTTTCCCTGGCTGCTGTGGGATTCTGGTGCTGTTACATGTACTTGGGCCTCATCGCCAATTAACAGGAGACAGGCTTAAAACAAACAGGAGGAAATGTTTGTTTTTTTTTATTTTTTATACAGCATGTAGTTAACATGTGGAATTTGCTGTCACAGGATGTTGTAGAGGCAGAGTAGTATAACCAGGTTTAAAAAGGTATTAGACACATTTATGGAGGATAGGTCCTTTGGTAGCTGTTAAACAGAACAGTCAAGAGATGTGTCCTCCGACATCCCTAAACCAGTGATGGTTGATGCCAGAGAGAATGACAGGGCTTGGACTGCAAGAGACATGCCCTGTACATATGCTGTCCTTCCACAGCAGCTGCTGCTGGTGCCGTCAGAGATAGGATTGTGCTTTAGATGGACTGTTGGCATCATTCCCATTAAGCTTGCTGGGTTTTGGTTCTTTCCATGACTGCTTTGGCCTCACGGTATGTGTTTGCCCCATGCAGGCCCTCCTGAGCTCTTTGAGGCTTGGTTCTTGCAGTTTAACCTGGAGGAGAAGAAAGGGGAGATCTCAGAGCTGCTGGTGAGCAGCCCCTCCATCCGGGCTCTCTACACCAAGATGGTGAGGCACTGCTTGGTTCCTGAACTCTCTCTACAGGACCTGACATCACCCAGGTGTGGGAAGCAGGGGGGATGTGAGTGGGGGAGCTTGTACTTCTTGGGCCTGGAGCCTGAGACAGATGGGACTGGACTGTGGGCAGGTGAGCCCGACCATGTGCAAGTAGCATATAGAGCACCTCTTTTTTTCTGCCTGTGAGCTGCAGTACTTTGCCACTATGCTTGAGCTCCTAATGTCTGTTTTAGCATGCTCAGGCCCTTGAATATGTGTGCAGTGCATCTTGTACATCCAGCTGGTCCTCTGCATCTGACAGTGCAGGAAGCTTGCCATGAAGGGGGCCTCTGCCCAGAAGGGAGGGACAGGAAGGAAGAGCCCAGCAGTCAAGCTGTGAGGTGGGGAAGGTAGCCAGATTGGTGGCTAGCAATTAGAGCAAGTGGCCGGGAGTCCACACATCAGGGTTCGCGTCTCAGGTGGAAGCCGCTCACCCTCCTGAGGAATGGTGCTACCAAAAAGGGAGGGTGATTGTTGGTTTAGGAGCTTGTTATCTTTGCTTCCAGGCGCCTGTGGTAGTGCTGGGGATTTAATGAGGGTGGAATAGTTTCTCTCCTGGGTGGGACAGTGTGAAATTATGATGTGCAGGCCAACATGTACAGCTGGGTGACTTGTGTGAGACCCTGTTTTTTCCCCTAGGCTAGCAGGGCTGGGCGTACTCTGAGGTGGTGCATTCAGCCTGTGGGAGGGATCTGGTAGAGTGATCCTTGGGCTGTGGAAGCAGCTACATGTCTAGTGCAAGCCCCTGGGAGGGTAGCTGTGCTGTGCTGTGCCAGGAGAATGGTGGCTGTACACTTTCAGGCCTGATCAGGGAGCTCCCTGGGGGTGTGTCAGGCTGCACCCAGGTCACTTCATTAAGACCCTTCCTTCTTGTTTCCTTCCAACGATGCCAGGTCCCGGCAGCCGTGTCCCATTCTGAGTTCTGGCAGCGTTACTTCTACAGAGTCCATCAGCTGGAGCAGGTGGGTTGAGTGGGAGGTGCAGGGGACTGATATGCAAGGGGAGGGTTGTGCTTCAGCTCAGGGTGGGGGGCTGGCTAAAGGAGGGATATGAAATGTAACAGGGCAGGCGCTGCCAGCCCCCAAACAACAGCTGGGGACCAGCCCGTTTTCTCTGTGTCCTTGCCAGTGGTGATGCTGTGCTGCAGGGGAGCTTGAGGAGAGGGGCCTGGGAGCATGGGATGGGGGTCCAGCTGCTGATTGCTGGCCTTGTGGATTCATGCAGGAGGAGGTTCGGAGGGAAGCCCTGAAGCAGAGGGCCGAGCAGAGTGTGCATCATGAGGAGCCAGGTTGGGAAGAGGAAGAGGGTAAGTTGGATGGTAGGGAAGCCCAGAGTGGGTGAGAGCCCTAGGCTGGGTTTTTAAGGGAGAGGGGGTGTCTCTTCAGCTGCAACACTCCCCACCCTCGTGGTGTGTCTATAGGAACCGGAGTTTGGGCCCCAGACCTCTCTCTGGTGTTGTCAGCTGCACTGTGCTGATGGCGGCTGGAGCTGCAGTGTGGGCGAGATGGATTCTTCCAGCACTGCTGCTTGCAATCCTCTTCAGACAGGGTTACATACAAGACCCTGCAGTGAAAGTGCTGGTGTCTGCCTGCCTTGTTGCCTGACCCCCATCATTATACCCTCAGGGAGCTTCTAACCAGGAGGGGGTGGAGTCTGGCTGGCCCCTGCAGGACAGGCACGGCTTTCCTCCATGTTCTGTGCCTAAAAGGGCCAAACACTGCCCAGCACTGCCCTGGGAGGCTTGGGCCACAGCTGGCTGTTGTGCTCAGCCCCCAGAGTGAGTAGCCCCACATTGTCCTTCCTTTCCAGGGCACTGCCTGCTCTAGTGCTCTCCCCTCTGTGGATGTGGCTCTAGAGTGGGCAGGACGTTAACAGGGTTGTTGCTGGGACTGCCTGGGCAGGGGGGCTCCCTCCCAGCAGTGATGATCTCCCCAGTGAAGCTTTGTGTTAAGTTGCTGAAATTTGCTCTTGCCCTCCATCCACAGAGGAGTTCCTGGGCATGTCGCCGCTGCCTTGGGTGAAGTCACCTGACGAGGCCAAGAAGCCATTGGTCCCTGTAGCAACAGTGGCCCCAGCCACTCTGGAGGGAAGCCCCCTTCCCAGTCCCCAGGAGCCCTCCAAGGAAAGCTGGGCTGTGCTTGCTGCTGCCCAAGCCCCTGTGGAGGTGACCCCTTCTGCGAGCAGCGAGAGTGTCTCCCTTGTGACTCAGATTGCAAACCCTGCCTCTGTGCCTGACACGCAGCTAGAGACTGGAGCACAGCTGCCAGTTGCGCCTAGGAACCTCTCCCAAAGGCTTCTGGAAGCAACTGCTGAAGAGCCAAAGCCCACAGAGTCTGCACATTCTTCTGCAGCCGCTCGGGAGCGAGCATCCTCCTCTGAGCAAGTGGGGCTGAAGGAGCAGGCAGAGGGCAAGCCCCCGGGCAGGACAGAGACTCTGAGAGAGGATGGGCCAATGGATTTACGAGTCTTCGAGCTGAACTCGGACAGTGGGAAATCTACTCCCTCCAACAACGGGAAAAAAGGTGGGTGTGTGGGGCCAGGATCTGCTGTCAGCACTGAGCCACCCCGGGAACCCGTGCTAGGGAGTGAAGGGCACAAGATTCAGTGCAGGGTGAATATGCTGTGTTCCTGGCTGTCTTGAGCTCAGTCAGATGTGCATGGAGCTGGGGTTCCTTGGTGGATTACCCATTAGCTCCATTGCTTAACCCATATTGGGAGCCTCTGGCTGCTCAGTTTCCTGTATAACCTGTGCCCCAGTACCCCTGTCTGAGTGGATGCTCCTGGCAGGCAGTCTGCAATGGAGAAAAGTGTAGGCCAGTCAAGTATGAGATCTCTGCTCCATGCCTGAACTGCCTTCCCCCCAGCTCAGTGCAAGTCATATAGTGAGGGGCAAGTGCATTCTCCAGCTGTGTTAGTGGGGAGGTGGTCATGCAGGCTCAGCCCTGGGTATGGTGAAGCTGCGGTTTCATTACCAAATTTAAATCACTTGCTAGTTTTCCCTGGGGTTGGTCAAACTGGCAAGATTCTGATTTGCCCTGTGTCAGAAGGACTCAGAAACCACACTGAAGCTGCTGCTTGTTAGGCTGGCTCTGAAGGCTTAGGGTGGTAGGTTGCAGGTCCAGTACTTCCTCAGCCATTGGAGACTGAGATGCCACTATCAAACCACCTTGCCTGAAGGAGATTTGCAGCACTGAGAGACAGGGCCCTTGTATCAGTAACTCCCAGGCTAGAACGCCTATACGGAATAGGCAGCATGAATGGTGAAGGGGCCAGTGCAGCACTTGATTTGGCCTGTTCTGTGCTGGGTGTAGATGGTCGAGTGAGACTTCACAGAAATCTGTGCCCCAGTGGAACAAAGCAGGTCATCCTCTTCTCCCTTCCATCCGTCTGGCTGGGGGGAGGTGGCATTTCTTTGTGGAAGGGATGTGACATTCTTGTTCCCTCAGAACCATGCCCTGTACCTCCTGGAAGTGCCCCTTTCTGTCCCTCAGCCCAGTGTGTGCCAGGTACTGGCGCTGTCATGGCTGAGGTGCTGATTGCCTGAGGTGACTCTAACTCTTTTTTTTTTGTCAGCAATTGAAGCTGGACTTGTTCATTTGCTAGGGTTCAGCCTGGGGGTAGGGAGTGGGAGCTGAGTGGTTTCCCTGCCTCTTGCCCTCTGCAAGCAGATGACTCCAGGCTCAGTAGAAGTCCAGTTCCAATTAGGTGTGTCCCCTCCCTTGCCCCATTTCCCCAACCTGGTGCTATCTGCCAGTAGTGAGCTCCTGACACGTTATTTGGGGACACGGCAGCCTTTGCACTTCCTGCCCTTTGGCTTCTCATTTGCACTGCACTGCACTCATTGGCCAGGCCACTGATGAGTCAGAATTCCTGAATGCAAAGAATTGCAGTGCCCATTCACAGCTGGCACCTGCTGTAAGCAGGCTGTGTCTGGAGAGCCAGCACAGTCTCCACAGGGTGATCAAAACAAAGGGGAGTTTGCTAAGACCTCTTCACAATCTTCTGCCTTGGATTCCTGATGTTATGCAGCTCACATGGAGCCTGGCAGGGAGTGCCCTTGGCATTCCTGCACCCCACAGATATTGCAGTAGATTGACTTGAACTTCACTGTATCTGCAGATGCCCTGGCAGGGGCTGTGTCTCTTGCAGTTCCAGTACCAGAAGTCTCAATCTGCTCAGTGAAGTCCAAGGTCTCGTGCTTCAGAGAGAATGTGCTACCCTTACTTAACACCTCAGTGGCAGTAGTGAGGGCTGCTGGGGAGAGGAGGAGCTTTTTCTTTGACACTTCTATCTGCCCTTTCTCCCTCTCCCCTCACCCTAACCAAGCTTGTGGAGGAATCTGATTCATCAGGGAGATGCATAGACTGATCTTGGGTTGATGAGACTTGCTTCCACTGGAGGAAGTAGTGACCCTGGCACATGGTGTTTTAGACGTCACTCAGTCCCCCAGAGACTTGGGCTGCTTGTGTCTTTGCCTTCCAGGGGGCTGGCCCTTGGTTTAATCCTAGGGTTCTGTGGTTTCAGGCTCCAGCACTGATATCAGCGAGGACTGGGAAAAGGACTTTGACTTGGACATGACAGAAGAAGAGGTACAGCTGGCGCTCTCGAAGGTGGAGGTGTCTGGGGAGGTGAGTGCAGTGGCAGGGCCGTGTCCGGTGCTCCCAGTGGGAGGCTGGTGTAGTATCAAAGCTGACTCTCGGCTCTCTCTGTCCTGTTCACAGATGGAAGACGAAGAGTGGGAGGACTGGGAATAAGGAGGCTGCTTCCTGTGTGCACGCCACAGGCTCATTTCCACCATCCAATGTGAATTAAATCACAGACCGACAATTCCTTTCATGTGTAACTGTGCTGGGGTTTGCAGCTCTGGGCTGGAGGAGTTTTATCCCTGCTAAATCCTTTGGGTAGCTCAAACTCATGACCCATTCAGATGCTGGAGGAGGTGGCAGCAGGCATTTCACTTAGGGTGCTTGGGATGGGGCTCAGCCTCTCGAGGTCCTAGAGACCAGCAAGGTCAAATGTGACTGCCCTCCAAGACGTGGGGGCTGGAGAGGGGTCAGGTGGCATCAGTGGGTCCCTAGCGTTGAACTGGACACTAGAACACCTGGCTGGATTATTCTGTACCTCTCAGCTGCTGGTTTGCTGATTGTCTGCTTGTGTATGTGTATAACCTACAATACAGCAGCTTCAAAGGCTCTAGACTCCCAGCCCAACTAACCCCTGCAAGAGATCACTCCCTCACCCTGACCCAGGGTGGGACTGGCCAGAGGCTGGAGATGCTGCATGGAATACCCCTTCGTACTACTACACCTTCTGCTGTGAGGAAAGGCTTTTGACTGTGGGGCTTTGATCTGGAGCCAGGCCTCTCTACAGGGAATTCACTGCTGCCCCTGTCCCTTTCTGCACCTCCACTTGGCCTAGCCTCCTGTTAAGACAGGAGTCCCGGTGCTTCCTTCTGCTTCTGTTGGATGCAGCTTCTTAGAGGGAAACCCAGATTTCTGCCTGCTGAGGCAGAGGCCTCTCACAGAAAGCAGAGGGGAGTTGCTTCCTCCTTGCCCTTTCCATGGCTTCCCCAACTGTGCTGCCTCCCTCTGCTCTGCTGGGTTTCAGGAACTTTTATTTGTCCTTAATTCATCTGGCAAAGTCGTGGTTCCTGTGAGTTTTTATAGGTGGACAGTGGACCTAGGTCATAGTAGAAGCAGAACCTGTCCTTGTCAGCGTCTGTCAGTATCCAGCTCGGTCGTGTAAAAGACTTTGTTGGGTCCAGTGTCCACCACTTCTATATCAGCCTTTGTCAGCACATCCTGCCATTTTCCTCTGTTCTTAATAGAGGGGGAGGTGGAAGGTGTCTGGCAGCAGGTGGGACTTGGCACAAGCTGACTGCTGTCTCTGTTCACTTTGCTGCTTGAATCCCTGCCCCAAACCTTCCCTTCCCGCTTTTTTCCTCAAACTCCACAGGTTGTTAAAATGGCCCTGTTCCTGCTAGCTAAGGCTCCAACTCCCATTCCCCCACTGCTAGTGGCTGCTTTAGACGGACCTTCCTCTAGACCATGAGGGGGTTCCTTTCTGATCTGTCACAAAATACTCTTCCTTAGTGGATATGGCCAGTACAGTTATCTTCAGTGGACAGGGACCATCCCCACTGTCTCTGGCTTTCAGAGTATTGGATTTATCCATGGTATCTCTAGGTCATTCTGCTTCTTTAGGGCCACATAATTGAAGCTGTGGGTTTCCTTCTATTTCTAGATAACAGAAGCCTTCTGGGTCCTGGGAGCATCAGTTTTCCAACTGGGAGATTTAGACAAGAGTGACAGCTCATGTAGGTGGGTTGGAGATAGTGTCTTCCAGATCCGTGTCTGAGAGCCTGTGTAGGATGGAACACCCACTGGGACAGGGGAAAGCTTGTTGGTGTAAAGTGACCCATTGGGGTCTTTGCTGTGGCCTAGCTCTGTCCTTGACATTGGTGCATCTTGGGGAGGCAGTGAAAATGCAGCTAGGTTCCCTCTACGTGGATGTGGAACTGTCTTAACTCTAAGTCAGGAAATATTCCTATTGCCGGTAGGTCCACCATTGTGGCTGGAGGGGTTCTGTAGCAGGGCCTCTAGCCAGGAGGCCAGTAGCCATCTAGAAATATCTGAGAACCACATAAACTGCGCATAGTGCTGTGCTCTGGGGAGATTCCTGTGTATATGCTCGAGTCTAATTTTAAAACTGAGGTGCCCAGCTGGAACCTTGTGCCCCATGGTTGGAGCTGGGAGAAGGGGCAATGCTTTCATTTCTCTTCGTAATTCTTTCTTTAGTTAATTAACCGTTTGGTTGTTTGTGCAATATTCTCTCTTTTAAATTATATTGCATCTCCCAGGAGCATTTTCTAGCTGGGGCAAAAGAGATCCTAACAGCTGTTAGTTTTGTAATGATAACTTTCTCCTGAACCTTTTACAGACTTGCAGTTAACAGCGATTAAAGGAATTCTACAGAATTGGCTGTCTTGTGTTGGGTGTCTTATTTATTATCTAGAGGGCCAACCCCTCCAAAGCAGGTGGGCTTGGTGGAGCCCCAGCTGAGTGATTTCATCCTAATCCAGGTATAAACGTAGATGAAGGGGAGCCGTACTGTCCACTTGGTTAGCAGCAACTGCCTACAGCATCCCCAGGTAGTCTCCTATCCAAGGACTAGCCAGACCAGGGACTGTTTTTAGCTTCCAGGTTTGAGTGCATTCAGTCCAGGTTTTGGTTACAACCTGTCCTTTCTAAAAGAAATGTGGCATTTTGCAGCTTGCCTTACTCAAAAGACATAGGAAAGACCATTAGGATGAAAGGACATAAATATCTGCTTGGCCCAGAGATCTACTGTGCACCTACTACCCCATGGGACAGCCAGTGCTACTGGTCTTGCCTCAGTGTTTGCTCTTGTCCTGTCCAGTGGGTTGTTTCTTGGAGACTATCACTAGAAATGGTCTTGGGGAGGTGGGCAGATGTTGCCTTGTGCCTCCTTGCTTCAGTGAGGTGCTTGGGGAGAGAACTGAGGGCGCTTGGGTTCACATGCTCTTGTTTCTAGCTACAAAGCAAATGGCATGAAGGGGTTTCAGGCCACGTGGTTTTGTTTTGAATGAAATGTGATGAGAGAGAGGTCTGAGAAATGGAACAGCCCCTCCACTCTCCCTCTCTGCCTCTGGAGGCCAGCCATCCTGTGTCTGGGGCATGGGGTTGTGGAGGGGGAGGTGAGGATAGACTGGAAACCTAGCTTACCATTAAAATATGTCAGCATTTTGGAAGCCATCTGTCCCCTTTATTTGGGGAGAGAGTTATTAAGAGCTCACCAGCCATGGGTGCCAACTGACTTCTTCAATGGAAGGTCTCAGTATCATGTCTGGCTCCAAGAGGCTTTTCAAGAGATCCTGACATTCCTCTGAGATGTCCAAGTGCCCAGGAATGGAGATGCCTTTCTGCTGGTGACACAGCATCTTGGGGATGTCGGTGTCATCAAAGGGAAGGCCAGCGCACAGCATGACGTAAAGGATGACACCCATGCTCCAGATGTCCCCCTTACGGCTGTCATGAGGCACCCCCTGGAGCACTTCGGGCGCTGCATAGGCAGTGCTGCCACAGAACGTCTGGCTCAGTTCCTTCCGATTCTTGGGGAGCTGCTTGGCAAACCCAAAATCTGTCAGCTTTAAGTTGAAGCCTTGCAGCAAGGCATTCTCGCACTTGAGGTCCCGGTGCGCGACACCGCACGCGTGGCAGTAACGGATTGCCTCCACCAGCTGGTGGAAGAGCGCCTTGGTGCGGCTCTCGGGCAATGGGCCTTCGTGCAGGACACAGTCAAAGACGTCCCCGTCCTCTGCTAGCTCCATCACCAAGTAGATCTTCCTGTCGGACTCCAGCATTTCGTACACGCGGATGATGTTCTTGTGATCCAAGCGTTTGACAATCTGGAGCTCTCGAGGCAGGAATCTCTGGATAAACTCTGAGAAGAGAGAAGGCAGGTTCATTCCAGGCCCAGGAAGACAAACTAAGATAGGAATATGTGTGCTCTACCACTTCCCACAGATGCTGCACCTCTGTGCAGAGACCAGGGCTGGCAACCATTCACTGGCGAATGTCTTAAAAGATGTTGACATTGCAAATGCAACCATTTGCTCCAAGAAAATGAGCCCTTTCTCCACCCACTGGGCTATTTCAGGCTGAGAGGTGCTGGGAAGCTAAGGACAGATTATTAATACTAGCCCCTTAGTGAGAGGGGAAGTCCCCACCCTGGCGGAGCTCAGGAAGGACCAGCTTTCCCTTAGGAACTTGATCTCTTAGTCCGTGTGTTTTGGTTTTTAAATATCCATTCACTTGGGGGAAGCTGAATTATATTTTCAATCGGGAGTAACAAACTTGTAGATAGTGACCACTTCCCCAACTGTCTAGCCTGTGGCCCTCTCCGTGAGAGGCCTCTTACCTTCTGGACCTTCCTTTTTATCAATAATTTTAACTGCCACTTTCTGCTGGTGCTTTCTTGAGAAGGCCTCTTTCACCTTTGAGTATGTCCCCTCCCCAATGGTCTTTCCCAGCTGGTAGCCATTGGAGAGTAAAAACTCCTCCATCTCCTCTTGTAATTTTGGACCACTCATTCTCTCAGGTCATCATGTAGATGCTTTGATATGACATCTCTGTGCTTTGCTTCTTCTCCTGATCCAGGCCTGCATCGGTTGCAGCCCTGAATCCTAGATTATTTTCCAGCCTAGACAAAGTCCCTTGATTAAGGGGGCAGCTGGATTGGGACATCAAAATGCAAAGCCCCTATTATGATGCAACCTTGTATTTCATGAGTCAAAGGGGAGGACTGCCATGGGAGGCGAGTACCCAAAATGGGCAGTTGCTTAACCTGCCCGCAGCCCTGGGCAGTCGCACCAGGGCAGTGATGGGATAATCTCCAGGGACCTGTTTGTGGGGATTTGGGGTAAGGGATTTTTACACCTTGCAGTTACAGACTTTGTAACTCTTAATGTAACCCATATATTTGCCCCCGCTGTGGATTTATAGTGGAGTGGGCAAATTTTTCAAGATCAGATTCAAGTGAATTTGGAGGGTCTGGTCTTGTCCTCTTCCTAGTGGACATGGGGGTAACCGGCTTCCATTGTAATCTGGAGACTTGTTAGTTAGAAAAGTCTTTATAAGATCTACATGGCTGGTTGAGCACTGGAACAGGCTACTTGGAGAGGGAGGAGAGGGGAGGTCTCCGTCACTGGGAGCTAAGTGCGTGTTTGATGACCATGGGTCTGGGATGATTTAGACTGGGACAATCCTGCCTTGAGCAGGGGGCTGGGCTAGAAATGACCTCTCGAGGTTCCTTCCCCCCATGTTTTAATGGTTCTGATACAGGCAGGGGTGTCTGTGGGTTACTTCTGTCATAGTAACACTTAGTGCTTACAGAACCATCCCCATCTGTATGTCTCGGTGGTTGCCAAAAGAGGCTAGTGTCAACCTTTCTCCATTTCATGGATGGAGGAGCTGAGGTACGAAGAGAGGGAAGTGACTTGCCCAGTCACCCAGCAGCCCAGTGAGAAATTGAGCCCAGGTACTATCCCAGGAGTGGGCAATTATTTTGGGCGGAGGGCCGCTTACTGAGTTTTGGCAAGCCATCAAGGGCTGCATGGCAGGCAGCCAGGGGCAGACAAATATTAATTTTCTAGAATGGCCTGGCGGGCTGCATCTGGCCCGCAGGCCGCATTTTGCCCACCCCTGTGCTATTCACTAGGCTACACTGCCTCCTTTATCGAGGGGCTGCCCATCTTGGGCACTGCACAGAGGTGGAACAAAGATGATTCCTGCCCTATTGACTTTGTGATCTGCTTTTGGGGACCAGGGAGGGAAACGCCCTGTGGAGCAGGCTTTGTGTTTGTGCTCCGTTTTAGTTTACCAGCCCGAGTAAGAGTTCAGTGTGCAGGGCTTACGGGATCCCTTTCTAAACCCCACGGTGGATCCCCACAGGGACTGGCGTCCAGGAGGGAACATACAAATCAACCTCAAAGATTCTTTTGGTCTCGGCATCTGCAAGGTAAGACCTTTTCCTCAGCCTTTGGGGAACAGAGGCAGCTCCCATCTGCCTTCTCAGGCTGGTGGGATCTGGCCTGAAAGTAGCCCTAGATCAAGACCAGGTAAGTCTGGAGCCCTAAGACTACCCTGCTAGTCAACATGGCCTCAGCTTCTTTGTGCTCCCTGTCTGCAACCAGCTGTGGTCTTACACTTGGCAGGCTCTTTGGGGTAGGAGCTGTGGCTTTGTGTGGCAGCATGGTGCCCAACACAGCAGCCCTGGTCTGTGCTGGGGGCTCCAGGGAAGAGCCCCAGGCCTTAAGTTATAGGCTTGGGAATGCAGAGAAGGCCATGTCCTGCCATGCCCCAGCTGTCTTGTGATGTAAGAGGAGCCCTCCCGTGTCACAATGCAGAAGGCTCTCTGCCTCCTGCTTGCCTTGCTCGCATGGTGCCCTTTGCACTAGGCTCCCAGACTGCCAGGTGTACTCCTGGGAATCCTCCCAAGCCTTTGCAAAGTGAGTCAGGCCTCAGAAGGGTGTGGGAGGTGAGGGGGTGGGTGGGGCTGAGCTCCCGCCCTGCCAAGTCACCCACACTTACCTTGCTTCTCTCATCATCAAATGTCTGGGGCTAGGACATGAACTCTCAGGAGACCCCACAAGCTCGAAGATTCCCCATCGAGGCAGGAGATTCCCCCAGCCTGGCAGCTACTCCAGAAACCCTGGAGCCAGTTGCCACTGAGCACACTGCAGCAAGGTACGGGCAGTGGTGGGGGGCCTGAAGCTGAGTGTGCATGTGAGCCAGCCGTTCCCTGTGCACAGGGGATGCAGCTTCTCTTGGCTAGAGGCTGGGAAGTGACCCCCAGTGAGCACTTGGGTTCTGGGCTGGACCAGTCCTGCTTCCCCTGGATCCATCCCCTTGGTTGCTGTAAGGGCAGCTACTGTGTTTAGGTTATTCACATACATCCCCGCCTTCCAGAAACCTGGGCTCTTCTGGTCTGTGGAGAGGGAGGGTGTTGCCTTATTTTAATCTCATCAATTGCCCCCTTTGATCCTGCTGCGGGGGTGGGGGGGGGCTAGGAGTCTCAACCCTTTCCCTCTGCTCTTCAGTGTCTCCTTGGTCCAGCTGTGTTGTTCCCGAGCTCTGGGGAGGAGGCCACAGAGGCATCTCAGGTCTGGAAAGAAAGGAGAAAGGGAGCTATAACCCCATAGGAGCTGCTCCTGTTCAGGGGAGGCCAGCCCAGCCCAGCCTGGGCAGGCTGCGGCAGTCTCTTGGCTGCAAGAGTTGCCTGATTCAGCTCTGGCAAACCATGTTAACAGCCCAGGCTGGTTCCTGCAGACTGGGCACAGAAAAAAGCCCAGGGGAGAAAGAGGCCTACTGCTGCCTTGTCCTCCAGAGGGGCAGGGCTGGGTTAGGGTTAACTGTGTAGTGTGCCCTCCCTGGGTACCTGCTTTAGTACAGCTCAGTGCTGGGAGCAGATGAGATGCACCCCTGGTGGAGTCCCCTTGACTTTGGGGCTTCAGGACTTTGGTCTGGAGCCTGTGGGTGGCGGACAAGAGGGCGCAAGGGGTGCAGTGATGAGGAGCAGGGAAGGGGCTGCTGGCTTAGCAAAAGGATTACATGAGCTGGAGGAGGGCTAGGATGGCTGTGTGGGAGGTCCCTTCCCTACTGGACTGGTGTCTCCCTCACTGGGCAGAGAGCAACAGTGTGAATGGAACCAGGTTTCTACAGAAGTGGACTGGCCCTGCCACGCTCATCTTTGCCACCCTGCCTTCTCACTAAGCTGTGCCGCAGAGCACGAGACCCTGGTCAGGCCTCACAAGACTCCTGTGACCGGTGGGTGGCTCGGCTGTGCTGAGGCAGCTGCCTGGGAGCTGCCATATTAGCCCCCGGCAGCACCCGTGTGGGCTCAGGTCTTGACCCAACCCCGTGGCCTTTATCTCCTCAGACGTGCAGGCGCTGTGCAGGATCCGCCTCCCTGCGAGCGCTGAGTTTGACAATGCCGGCCCCTCTCAGAGGGGCATCTGAGGGGTCTTCCCTTTGTTCTACTGGTGGACATGGGCAGTATATTCCAGCTTGGTCTCGGGCTTCTGCTCCTTTCTCCTTGCCACCCTGGTATCCTTGGTGTAGGGGTGCAATGCCAGATCCCATAAAACCTTCCTCTGCATAAAGCCAGAGGAAAAGGGCACAAAGGACCTGTCTGAGCTGAGTGCTGCTGCCTCCCTGCCCTGTCCGGGTGGGCTCTGGTCCCCTGACGCAGTCCAGCCCCTCATGGCGGGAGCCAGCTGCTAGACTGCCAGGCCAGCCCATGTTTCTCTGCATCCAAATAAACATGTCAGCAACCTTGCACCGGCCTCCTGGGAGGCTGGAATCATCCAGGTCCCCTTTCTCATGACCCCCACTCTCATTGTGCAGGCAACTGAGAAGATGCCCAGGGTGCCACTGCCTGACGCTGCCCAACGTCCCCATTGACGTCTACATTGCCATGGGTGGGAACCGCAGGCCGCGGACTACCTAGCGGTTCCCCCAATTTGGGCTTGAGTGCTGAGGCCGCGGAGGCTGCCGCCAGCAACGCCCCGGCAGCCAGAGAACAGCAAAGGGCGCCACGCAGAACGGTGATGCACATTTTAATAAAAGGACATCTTAGAATGTTCCTCTGCATTGGGGTCCTCTGCTGTGGCTCCCGCCAAAAGACTTGGCAGGGCCTCGCCTGTGCCTGGTGCCCAGGGTCTCGGCAGGGAACGACCAGCTCCAGGTTTGTGGAAGAGGTTGCCTGGCAGAGGGCACTGCTTGTGCGGTCCTGGCTTGCTCCAGAGGCTTTGGTACCAGGCTCCGTCAGAAGCTGGTATGATTTGCTCCTGCTCCTGACAGTCTTTGGGTTCAACTTATGGGTGTCTCTCCCTGCTGGACTACCAGGGGCTGCTTCCCAATGCCCTTCTAGAACACTGGTTTGTCCCCAGCCTGACCCTCCTGTTCCCACCCTCTCTCTTCCAGCCCTGCAGCATCCGCTTGGTGTCCAACTCAGCAGGTGGGCAGGCAGCCCCTGCAAGGGCAGAGCATGGGGTGCCCTGGTTCCCAGGCTCTCCCTTTTCTCACTCTGGCCTTTCTGGTGGAAGAGGAATCAGACGGACCCTGCACTGGCTGGCTGGAAGCATAGGTAGCGCTAGCAGCCTCCTCCCCTGCTCCTGCTGGGTTTGATCCAGCCATGGGGAGGAGTGTGGGAAATGTATTTGAGCACAGAGGTTTTGCTGGACAGCCTGGGTTGGGGTCGAGGCTGATGGGGGTGACGAGAATCACTTTAACGGAGCGAAAAGGGTGAGGTTTGGAGTGTGATTAAGTCAGTGGATGGGACTGCAGGTGGTCTTGGATTGTGCAGGAGCTGAATGCTGGATGGGTGGCTGGTAGCAGGGGTGCCTCCCATAGCGTGCACTAGCACAGGGGCTGCCCACCCGCAGGGGAGGGAAGGAGGTGGCAGGGAGCCAGCAATAAGAGCATGTGTGCAGGCTGCTCCAGCCAGGTTTCCTCCAGGGCCCTGCTCTTCATCACTTGGGTGGTAGGGCACAGAGCTCTGCTGCCTCATCCCTGCCTTCCAAATGTGGAATCACTTTTATCCTTTATATCCCGAATCGCCTGTGAGTTTTGTAACCACCTTTGTTGGGGGAGAAAAGTTCTTTAATCCAGAGCTTTTCATAGGCAGATGTTGAGATGTCTATGCCTGTGTTTTGCCTTGGATGCACCAGGGGTGTGATTCTCCCCTGCATTGCACCAAGGGGCATGAGTAGCCCCCTGATTTGGCAGCATTTCAGGCCTGCTTTGCATGGGTGGGTTGGCATTTGTTTGCTTAACATCCACACCATGGAGTGTGTGTATTTAGAGCACGTCACAGCCATGTCTGGTGCTCTTAAGCAGAAAGGGGGAGATTTGTGATGGTTCTCGGGTCCAGTGGGACTTTGTGGCAACAAGTTGAGAGGTCCAGCTCCCACACACACAAGTTTTCTCCTTGTGGTCAAAGCAGTACTTCTGCTGTGATAATTAGCCTCCTTTCTGCTTGTTTTCTGCCTCTGGCCAAAGGCATTAAGCTAGCAGTTGCCAGCTCCTCGCCTGTTGAAATTGGAGGCTTCCATCATTTAATTCTGCTCTATCTGGCATGAACGGGTGTTGGAGTAGCAGGTCTGTCACGGGTACGGGGGCTGACATGTCTACCTCATTTGACTTGAAATGTTTTCCTGCCATCTTGCCCCCCATGCAAAGACGAGAGCCTGTCAGAGCTCCATACAAAGGGAAACCTGGCACTGCAGGCCACGTGCCACTCCAATGAAATTACATCTTCACCAGCTCCCACGTGCTGGGGGTTGGAGGACTCCTGCCTATGAGGATGGGCTGTGGAGCATAAGGTTGCCTGCCAGCAGCTGGCACAGAAACTCCATTTTTCCATCAACCTGCAGCTCCTGCTTTAATGTCCCTGGTTAGTGCTGCCCAGGGGTTGAGAGCAAAACTCAGACAGAGAGGAGCCTGGCAGCAGATGTATACCATCTCGTACCAGAGACTACAGGGAGCTTTGTCCCCCGCACCCAGTGTCTGAACCAGGACTGGGAGCGGGCAGGGTTAATCCAGCTATGGCTCTACTTTTGGAGTGGATAGGAATAATAGAAGGTAATGTCATTGGATTTAGCGCTGTGTGCAAAAAGCCCCCTTGTGTTGCTGTATGCTCATCTTGGATTTCCTTCCTCTCTTCTCCAAGACAAGGGATCATTAGATCATCCGGTGTGACCTTGGCAATGCAAAGACAAGAGTCTGTCAAAGCTCCTTCCACAGGGAAAGCTGGCAGGTTATGTTTTGTCCTGCTATCACTGCTGAAGCCTCTGTTTTAGAAAGCCATGCAGTCCTGCTCTGAAGCCTCAAAGGCTGGAGGAGTCGGCGCTTCCCCTCAGTGGTTTGTTCCAACAGTTGATTCCCCTGCTGCCAGACACTGGTGCCTTCATCCTAGCTTTGAACTCGGCTGACTTCAGCTTGTAGCCATTGGGTCTTGTTCTGGCCTTTGCTGATTCAGATAGTCTATAAGGTACATCTCTACCTTGCCTTCTGCCTTTGCAGCTACGTTGGAGGAAGCATTAGTATCTTGCTTCTCCCACCAGGAAGGTTTTTATATGTTGAAAATCAAATTGCCTTGAATAGTCTCTTGGATGTCTCTATGCAGCACCTCCTTCAGCCCTTCAATCATTCAGGGGTTCTTTCTGCACTCTCCCCAATTTTTCAAAACTTTTTTTTTAATACAGATGCCCAAATGGGGTGCCGCATCCTGATATCTACATCATTGATGCCATGTGTAGCATCCTCCTCATGTCTGCTTCCTTGCTCAGCAATCTCACATTGAGTTGTACGCCCATTAGGATCCCTACATCCTCTTCAGAGTGGTAGTCTTGCAGAAGCCAGTGCTGCAGCCTGGAGGCACGGCCTGCGGTTCTTTTTCCAGGACATATGAACCTTGCGCTGAGCTGCCTTTAACTACGTTATGTTTGAATGGGTGCACCAGGTGCTTCACTAAGGCAGCTGGCTCCTGCCCTGTCTCAGCAAAAGGATGGAGGGTGAGAGTGTTTGGGGCCCTCTGATGGAGGTCCCCTACGAGCAGTCTCACCTGGTGGAGAAGGCTGGAATCGACCCCAGGCAAGTCCCCGACTGGGGAGCTCCAACACTGCACAGCAAGGGATCCTGGTGTAAGAATGTGCCTAGGGGCTGCTTTCACCCCTGTCTCCTGTGACGGGAGGCTCTCAACTACTTTGTTCTCATTATTTGCCATCTGCCACAATTGATTTCAAATTAACACTTGGTCACTGCCAAAGCATATTGTCCTGATCCCTGAGGAAGCATGGGAGATCCCTTCCCCCCTTGAATCATGGCTCCCTACAGGTAACCTTTTTTTTTTTTTTTTCTTTTTTTGAGATTTGTCAGTTATGCAGCTATTGGTCCATCACTGTCATGGTGCTGTTGCACTCAATAAAAGCAGAATGTGCAGGAGCCATGCTACCTGTGCCTGGCCAAAGTCTGCCAGTTGTATTAACTCTGTTGCTTTTCCCAACTCATGTGTAATTTCCAATAATCCCATTTTTATTGATGAGGTCACTAAAACCACAGGGGCCAGTACCAATCCTGTATCTATCCCTGTGCTAAAGGTCACCCCCTCCTCAGAAATCCTGCTGTGCAAAGGCATCCAGATGGAGCAAGCTGTGTCCTATGATCACCAGAGTCTTCTGACTGCATGGAGCAGACTTGGGGGGGGAGGCGTTCTCGCAGGCATATTGTGGGGTAATTATTACAACTTCCTGGCCACGTCTGCATGAGACTCTGACTGCACGGTAGCTCGTTACTACATGGTAGCATTGCATGGCATGAAGCATGGTGTGACACTACTGCGCAGTTGGCGTTACCTAAAAGCCATTCAGCAATGCTACTGCGTGCTAACTCCAGGAACTGCGCAGTGATTTAGTACTTACCTATGCAAATACTGCACAGTCAGCGTCTCGTGTAGATGCAGCCCCTGTCATATATGGGATAAGGAAAGCTCCTGCTTCTAGCTGGGAAGGTATCATCTGATTTGTTCCTCAATGCTGCTCCTGCTTTCCTCCTCTCCACACCGTCTGGGGGAGGCTTGGGCTGGCTCACTGGTCTGTGGGTCAGCACCGACCTGCCTGCTTGCTCTCGAGGTGTTACAGCAGGTTCTGCTCTGAGCGCAGAAGACAGACAGGGGGGAGAGCCACCCCTAGGCTCCTTCTCCCCCCTGGACCCCTTGCTATGCAGTGTCAAAGCTCCCCAGGCTGGGGCCTGCCTCAGCCTTTTCCACCAAGTGAAGCTGCTTTGAGGGGGCCCCCTCGGAGCTCCCACTCCACCCTTGGGCTGGGATGGGGCAGAAACCAGTTGCCTTAGTGAGTTGGCATGGTCCTTTCCCAGCAGGATTAGCACTGCTAGCATCACACAGCTGGGGGGAGTGGGGACAGAAATGGAGCAACTAATAGCACCCTTTGCCTCTGCCAGCACACATCAGCCATATACATCTCCCTCTGCCCACAGAGCAAAGCAAACAGCCATTTACCCTGGCTCTGAGCATCAGTACCTTTCTCAGGTGGGAGGGGGGAGGGCAGTTCCCGGGTAAAGGCAGAAATCTCTCTCTCTTTATTAGGCTTAGTCCTGGGATAAGGAGCCTTTCCCCTGGGCTCTGCTCCAGTCTGGCTCAGGTGGCAGGTGCCCCTGAAATGTGGCAGGTGGGCAGCAAGCTGCTGCTCTGGCACCAGGCCCTGGTGGACAAACAGCCTCATGCAGCACGGTTGGGTTAGCAGCGCTTGCCCCCTTGGGTGTGGACAAGAGCCGGCTGGAGCTGGGGACTGTCTCCCTCTCGCCTGGTCCCTGAGACCAGGGCCCTGCCCTGCAGTGTCCATGGAGTCGGCCCATGCCCGGCGGTGCCCAGCATAGATGTCGTGGGAGCCGGAGATGCCCACACCGTGCCGGATTTAGGCTTAAACTACTTAAGCTACAGCTTAGGGCCTCGCAATAGAGATAACATAGGTGTTAGGGTCGGAAGGGACGTCAGCAGATCATCAAGTCTGACCCCCTGCCCGGGGCAGGGAAGAGCGCTGGGGTCTGACAACTCCAGCCAGGGGCTTGCCCAGCCTCCTCTTCAAGACCCCCAGGGTAGGGCACAGCACCACCTCCCTGGGGAGCCCCTTCTCCCTCGAGAGCCCAATATGAGGGGGCCTCTAAATGAGAAGAAAAAAACCAACCCCTGGGCATTTGCATTCTATGAATGTCTATTTCCTGCATACATTTCAGGTGTGGATTTCATTTGTCATAATGTGACAAAAATATCCCTCTGCCTAATACAAGAGATCCGATTCACCCAAGGAACCTTGTCTGCCCGCGGTATATATAGCTCCATACAGACAGAGCTCATCCCTCCGTGCCCAAGTCACAGGGGTCCCATGCTCGCCAGGGGGCGCGCTGTCCCTTTAAGGGGTGTCCGCATCGCGTCGCGCGGAGGTTTGTCCGCTCGCGGCCGCCGTTTCTCCCCCCCCCTCTCTGCCCGTCCGCCATATTGTGGCCGCCGCCGCCTGCGAGCCGGAGCGTCAGGAGCCGCCGGAGACAGCGATGGGTGAGGGCTGGCTCCGGGACCCGGGTGGGAGCTGGAGGGGTCCCGTTAGCAGGGTGCACGCGGCCCCGGGGGCGCTGTCTCATTCCCACGGAGACTCCTGCGCAGGCCGCGGCCTAGGCCTGCCCCGGGGGTGCGGGCCGGGCTGGGCCGAGCGGCACGCGCCTCCTTGGCGGGGGTTGATCCCGGTCTCGGGAACTTTTCTTAAAAAAAACCCGCGGCCCCGGGGCAAGCAGGACCGAGCTGGTTTCTTTCCACCGTCGCTCTCCGGCCCGGTCCCGTCGGGCTCCCGGGTCTCTGCCCTCAGGAAAGGGGCCGAGGCTGGGCGGAGAGTCGCTGCGTGGGGCTGCCTCTGTGGAGACGAAAGGGAGTAAAATACCCGTGTGCGAGTCCAGGTGTCCCTCGGCCTGGATGTGCGAATTCGGCCTCATGCCCCGACCCTCTTTCTACCCCAAATTCATTACCTGTGAAGTAAACCGGCTCTCACGCCATCAGTGAATTGCGTGTGGGGGGGGGGACGTGCATCAAAATGCAGCCTCCCACGCGGACCTCGCTGCCTGCAACGCACCTCCGTGACAGTAATGGTCGCCCCTGCCATGCGCCGTCCGCTGCAGGGGAGCCTCAAAATGGTCTTGTTCAAGCGGTTGAAATGAGTCTGGGGGTTGGTATGGTTGAGGTCTCAGAGCATGTCCTGATTTTATTTATTTATTTTTTTTGTATCTTCGTTTCTATAACTCACTTGTCTTGAAGCTTTCTCAAACTCCCCTTCTTGGAAAGTGGGTTCCCTGTATGTAAATTGGAGTTGGACACTGTTTTCCAGCAGCGCGTGTACAGCACAGAGCGAGGGAAACCCGTCTAGCGAGCAGACGATGACAGGTCACTCTTCGTAGGAGCATCGTGCTGCGTGTCCTTGATCTTCTCTCGCTTGGCTTGAAGGGAAGGCGAGATTGCCTTTTCTAGGCCGTTAATGAGTGAGGCTGAAGGGGGGGGTTGGAGGACAAACCAAAGCAACCCCGTTTAGCGTACCACAGTTTGTCCGTCCCCTCTTGAAAGCCAGGGCCGACTTCTTGATGACAGCACTATCGAGCAAGGTGTCAAAGGAAAGGCCGGTTTAGTTGCAGGCCACTAGTTCTGGGCCCCACCTGGGCAAAACGGCCTTTCCGGGATCTTTTATTCCACCTCCCAATGCCGCTTGTTTGTAAAACCACGACTTAAAAAAAGCAGCGCCGAGAGCAGGAACATGGTAGTGATGGAGCTGTGCTGTCCGGGACGCTGCATGACGTATCACAACTTGGATGTCAACTTTTGACCAGAGGTTTGAATTGAATTGAGGTTGGAAAACCATCACTTAGCTTCTCAAAACAGGGCAAACACAGGGGGAGCAGGTCCCCTTTCATGTGTCCTGCTGGTCCATGTTAACTGCTTTATGACCACAGCTAACTAAGCTCTCTGGATGAAAGCAGCTGAATAGAATAATTTAGGATTTACATTTTATATATATAAAAAAAAAAACAATAAAAAAAAACCTGCACTGGCAGATCAGTGAGGCAGTAGTTAAGTGCTCAGTTTGGATATACCAAAGCTGAGCTGGTGCAGGTAATGTTAACATAAGAGGGACAGAGCTGAAGGTATTGCTGTGTACAGCAGAGCAGTGCTGTGTGTTATGTCCAGCCCTGTGCAGCAAGCTGCGTGCTGCACAGACTGTACATACACAACATAGAGTAGTGCACCATACTTCATGCTGAAACGAAACTACTTGAGACAAAAATTTGGGCAGCTCAATTAGGTGGATACTTTGCTTTGTATATGGTTGTATGGGCTGAACACTTGTTTGTGAATGAGCGTGGAAAAGGGTCAAGATAAAGGCATGGAAATAGGATATCTGTTCAATAAACAATTTACAAACCATTGCGGAAGGCAAGTAAACTTTAGGATGACCTAAAGTCTGGGGGTGGTGGGCATATACAACACTATCTGAGTTTAACAAACTGGGTATTAGCAAAGATGAATGGTGGGCCTTTATCCCTTGTAGTCTTCTTGGGGAAGGAGTTTCAAGGCAACCTGGAATGGTGAAATGCTTGGAGCAGTTACAAACACCGAGTGTTAAGTGTTTGTTTTAGACAGCGGCCTAATCCCCTGGTTTAAGTGCCATTATACTACTCCAGCTAAGGTCAGCTTGGCCTTTATTATGCCTTTGTAGATGCTAGAGCCTGTCTATGCTGGGATACTCGACATCTGCACAAAGCATGCAGCTCTGTGGAGAAAGCAACAGAAAAGACTTGAAAATGTAGGAGGGTAATGAAGGTATCCAGGTTGTAGCTATATTGGTAAAGGAAAAAGCAATCCGGACTCATGGTAGAGGTGATATATCTTTTATTAGACCAACTAGATTTTTGCGAAAAAAAAATCTCTTTAATTGCAAGCTTTCGGGCAGACAGTTAAGGTGAAAGTGTGTCTTTGGGGATTGGCTGAAGAAAAAATGGCAACCTCTGTGTTTTATTCCCTCAGGCCTGTGTGTAATCTCAACCCAAACCTTAACAGGATTGAATTTGGTGAAAGACAAATATACCAAGTGACGCTGAATTCCCTAGAAGCAAACCTTTGCTTTTCCTCTCCCTCTGCAGCCAGCATTATCAGCAAAGTGGCTGTGCCTTCCAAAAATGAGATCACATCACAGGCTCTCGGTAGCTAAAACAGAAGGGAATGAGCCAATGGTGACTGCTGCACCAGACAGCCAAAATAATTGCATGGATAAGCATTTTACCAGCACAGAATGTGCTGTGTGCACAGCGCACAGCTGTGGGATCCAAGGCAGGCTGTGTTAAGACAGGTCTTGGCATCCGCTGAATTAGCAGATGTTTGTTTGTATTGAACGTTCAGGAAATAATTTGCCCTGAGAAGGTAAATGTGGCCCAGGTACGAAACAGAAGATAGCTATGGTTTTCTCTTCTATTTTTTTTTTTAAATAATCCTAAACTTTGTTTTACTGAAACCTTTTCAAAATAATGCTACTTGTAACACTTAATCAGTGTATCTGAAATATTGGAGAGAAACTTCAATTTACTTTCTCTGATGGTTTCTCTGCATTACTTTGCTTTTTCTTGCAAGTGAAACCTCACTGGTACAAGAGGTGAGGGACAACTTGAAAATGGGTATTGGAGCTAAAGAACAGGTTCAGTAAAAAAAACAAACAAACCCCTCTTATTTAGCTAGTTCTCAAAAGGCAACATTGAGTTAATGTTGTCCCTTCATGTGTACATGCAGCTAACTCTGTCCTGTGTGTGTATTCTTCCTGACCAACTTAATTAGATGGCCAGATATTTCTCAAATACAGCTTTAGGTTCTTTTCCCTTCAACCTTTAACCGTGGTGAGTTGTCTTAGTTTAGTTATGAACTAGTCAGAGAGAGTTTCTTAGACAAATGTTGACAGGTCCTTATCTGTAGCTGCTGCTGGTGAACCTATGGAAACTATCTGCTAGCTGGTAAAGCAGGACTCTGCATTGTGTCCTCCTTTTTTTTTCTTTTTTTTTTATTAAATGATGATTACTACCTTGTTCTTTCCCTGTCTCCTAGGACCTCACCTGTCCTCCATAAAGCCTCAGAGATTATAGCCAATGGCTTTGCAATTACTTCAGCCAATTCCTTGAGTACCTTAGG